ATCACATCCGCGGTCTGCGATCGACGATAACCTTCCATCAAGGCCTGGGGGGGGAGGCGGGCCTTCTCTTCCGCGGGCAGACCATCTTGGGTTTGAATGGCGATCAAACGCCTTCGCAGTGAGCCCATGCCATCGTCCTCTGGCAACGAGGACGGCGGCTTGTTGCGGCGGCGAGGGTGTTGCGTAATTGTAGGGCAGCATGGCTGCTGGTGACTGAACTATGGCATCGGGACGACGAACTTGATCCAAAATGTCAGTGGAGATGGTGGCTGCGGCAAGAGGGCTGGTTGTGGTGGTGGTGGTGTTGGTGGGGGGGTCGATGTCGCGAGGCGTGATGACAGGCATGGCAATCGGTTCTGTTGAAGCTCGGAGGGGTCGGTGTCGGATTTGGCTGGGAGGCTGCTGCAGCTGGTCTGGGGTGGACGGCTCCGGCAGCGGGGCCTCATTGTCATTGACCTGGTCTGGAGCTGGGTCGTTCACATGCTGATTCTGTTGCGGAAACCCCAAGAAGGCCAGGTGCTCCGCCAGGCTTCGTCTAGGGTCCGCCACATTGACAGGCTCTTCGTCTGGAGTGTTCCTTCGCTGTCCAATCTCCGAGAGCCGTCGAGCCTGCCGAATGACTGGATTGATGATGAAGTCGGCAACCAGAGAAGACATGGAGAGAGCCTGGGCTCAGTGCGGTACAAGGAACCTTGAAGGAAGGGTGTTGTGGGGTGCCCTTGGGTGCTGACAAGAGGTATCAGGTACTCGGCGCCACTCGGTCGGTCGAGAAAGGTCCTGATCACAACAGCTGGTCGCGCACTGTGGCATGGATTGAGCTGGATGAGAAAAGAAAACCAAAAAGCACTTCTCAGCAATAATAGCTTTGGCAGTGACGAGAGGGAATAGTACAGATCGGAATCGAGGAGAACTCAAAGGGAGCGGTCGCGAGATCGTCAGAACATAATCGACCCCTCGCCAGAAGTCCAGACAAAGGCGGGGGGATGGATATATGGATTCGGGGGTCAGAGGCTGGGGGGGGGTAGGTTCGGGCCAGGCCAGGCCCGGGAGGCAAAAGTCTGGTGATCGTTTCTGGGCGAGGAGACCAGCTGTCCGCATGACATAAGGGCATTCAGTATGTTCTCTCGCGTTTCTGCCTTTGCAGTGTCTCTACCGCCTGCTTTGGGACTGGCTCACGCTCGACTCATGTCTGTGAACGTCCGACTCGCTCTGTGCTACCCCTAGTAGCAGCCCCTTTCGCAGATCGTCGAACTGTGGCTGCTAGTCAATCGACGCCACAGCGTGCCCCCCGAAGCACACACGTGTTGATGACCGAATGGCTGGTGGTGAGGAACGACCTTTCTGCTGTATTTTAAAGTGCACGTGCTTCGACGAGAGTGAAGAAGTTCGGCCTTCAAGACAACCTAACATTGAAAGTCAGGTCGATCCGGCTTGTTGGCGTCGAGGTAGTGATCTGCGGCAAGGTCCGGGACGGTAGCTCCGCAGGGCATAAGTATTCTTAGTATCAAATGCCACTTACAAGGTCCCATGCAATTTGTTGTGCCATTCATCAGACAGACAGTTTGCTTCGGCCTTTGCCTTTCGTTCCTCCCTCTGCACAGAACATTGCCAAACAAGGAATATTGAACAATGCCAGCTGGCCTTGTACAGGATGGCTTTTGCTCGTGGGGCATCGAATCAGCTCGAAATGGATGGCCGAAAGCTCCATCCATTCCATGTTGGTGCGTGGGAACAACGGACAGACTCAGCTAGGAGCTGCGGAGTGGGAAGGGAGGTCGATAGGGGATTCAGGGGCTCCCGGCACAGCTCAATGGCTCAATGATGGGTAAGGGTGGGGTCGCCTCGTAAAGACAGTGCCAATATGCGGCGCGGTATCTTGAGACTGTGCAAACATATGGGGTTTCGGCCCAATTGTACAGTCCCAACCGTCTAGCCATACACTGTCTCGACGCGCATAGGTGGCATTTACTTAGGCTTAGGAAAGCTGCAGGCGCGTCAGCAGCTTCTGAGCAACAGGCACAAGGGGAACGAACGCTTCCGCACTCGACAAAAACTTCCCACGTTGGCCCAGCTTCGTGTCATCGAATGCTTGCCGCTCTACTCCTCTTCTTCCCAGTAGTCTTTTTTCTGCTGGACCGGCCTCTTCTCATCAGGAAGGGCCTCAATTGCTGCTGATCCATCGTCGTCAGCTGCTCCGGCAACTTCTCCTTGACCCTTTTGTTGGTCCCTTTTGTCCTTGAGTTTCTGACTCGTCCGATCATTCACATCCTCAATTCGAGCCGAAGAGCTACGAGCTCCCCCCCTTTCCACCAGCGCCTTCGCCGACCGCGCCACTCTTCATCCGCCTTGTCCCCTAGCAGGTGTCAACACTCTGCTGTGTTTCGACTTGTTCGTCTAGATAGTCATCCGGCATCTCAGACCGTCCCAACATGGCTTCCAGTAAGCCCGTCGTCGCCTCTGGCGCTGACGTCGGCGATGGCGTCAGGAGGCGTCCCATCGCCGCCGGTCAGTCCGTCCCTGTGACAGCCAAGCCCGAGGTCGACAACAAGAAACAGCTTGCCAAAAAGGTATGTGATTGATGATGAATATCACGCCTCTTGTGCATCTGCTGACGTATGGTCTCCAGCAACCCACCGCTCTCGACTTCCTCGACGAGTGGGAATTCATCCTCGCGCCCCTCCTCTTCACGGCTGTGGCTGTCTTCACCCGTCTTTACAAGATTGGTCTCAGCAACATCGTGACCTGGGACGAAGCGCATTTCGGCAAATTCGGCAGCCACTACATCAAGCATGAATACTACTTCGATGTCCACCCGCCTCTGGGCAAGATGCTCGTCGGTCTCTCTGGCGTTCTTGCTGGCTACAACGGCTCCTTCGAATTCAAGTCTGGCGAGAAGTACCCGGCCGATGTCGACTACACCTTTATGCGCGCCTTCAACGCCTTCTTCGGTATTCTCTGTATTCCTCTGGCCTACTACACCGCCCGCGAGCTGAAGCTGCGTCGCCCTGCTGTCTGGCTCGTCACCCTCATGGTTCTGTGCGAGAACTCGTACACCACCATCAGCCGCTTCATTCTGCTCGACTCGATGCTACTTTGCGGCACCGTGCTCACCGTCTTCTGCTGGAGCAAATTCCACAACCAGCGTTACAACAGCTTTGAGCCCGAGTGGTTCCTCTGGCTGTTCCTGACTGGTCTCAGCATCGGCTGCGTCTGCAGTGTCAAGCTCGTCGGTCTCTTCGTCACCTCTCTCGTTGGTCTCTACACCATCGAGGACCTCTGGAATAAGTTTGGCGATACCAAGATGCCTGTCACGACCCTTGGTGCTCACGTTATCAGCCGTGTCGTTGGTCTCATCGTCATTCCCCTCCTGGTCTACATGCTCTCCTTCGCCGCCCACTTCGCCATCCTTGACCACACCGGCCCCGGCGATGCCCAGATGAGCTCCTTGTTTCAGGCCAACCTAAAGGGTACCCAGGTCGGAAAGGACAGCCCTCTTGAGATTGCTTACGGATCTCGTGCAACTATCAAGAACATGGGCTATGGTGGCGGTCTACTCCACTCCCACGTCCAGACCTACCCCGAAGGCTCGAACCAGCAGCAGGTTACTTGCTACCACCACAAGGACACCAACAATGACTGGTTCTTCTACCCCAACCGCGACGAAGAGCCCTACGATGCCGAGGCTGAGCCTCGCTACATTGCTGACGGCACCACTATCCGTCTCATCCATGCTCAGACTGGTCGCAACCTGCACTCGCACGAGATTGCCGCTCCTATGACCAAATCGGACAAGGAAGTTTCCTGCTACGGCAACCTGACTGTTGGAGACGCCAAGGACCACTGGAAGATCGAGGTTGTCCGTGATGCTGCCTCTCGCGACCGTAGCAGGGTTCGAACCCTGACGACTGCGTTCCGCCTCAAGCACCCTGTGCTCGGCTGCTACCTTCGCGCCGGCACAGAATCTCCCTCAATGGGGTTTCAAACAGATCGAAGTGGCTGTACTAAGCCGACCACTCCCGCGATACGATCCTCTCACTGGAACGTCGAAGCCCACTGGAAATGACAAGCAGTAAGTGCACCGTTCACCTGCCAGGCGCGTGAAATCAAGCTGATCACCTCGCAGTCCCCAAGAGCGACCCTGGTGTCTACAAGTCCCTCCTTCATTCATGACTTCATCCATCTGAATGTCGCCATGATGACCTCCAACAATGCCCTCGTTCCTGACCCCGATAAACAGGACGACCTTGCCTCGCACTGGTGGCAGTGGCCCATCCTGGACGTCGGACTGAGGATGTGCAGCTGGGACGACTCTGTTGTCAAGTACTTCCTCCTTGGCAACCCCTTCGTCTACTGGGGCACCACCCTGGGCCTTGGCGTCTTTGGTCTCGTCATCGCCTGGTATGTCCTCCGCTGGCAGCGTGGCTTTGGCGACCTCAACTACAAGGAGGTCGACCAGATTCACTACGCTGGTGTGTACCCGGTCATCGGTTGGGTTCTCCACTACCTGCCATTCGTGGCCATGGCCCGTGTGACCTACGTCCACCACTACTACCCTGCACTGTACTTTGCCATTCTGACGTTCGGCTTCCTTGCCGACTGGTTCCTGCGCAACAAGAACAAGACAATCCAGTACGCCATTTACGGAGTTCTTTACCTTGTCATCATTGGCTTGTACATCAACTTCATCCCCATTTGCTTCGGCATGGTTGGATCGAACAAGCAGTTCAGCTACCTGAGGTGGTCTGACAAGTGGAGGATCTCGGACCCTATCGTCTAAAGTCTCCCATTGTGATTCATATCACATGGCCGTGATACGATACTGACGGGACGATGAGAGTCCTGAGAAGAATGGCACCATAGCTACGGATGAATGATGACTTTTTTTTTTCATCCACCTCTTCAACAAATCGTAAGGACAAGGGCGGAAGGAGGCACTTGGGGCATGGGGAGTTTCCTGCGCTTTGGGCAGATCGTACAGGCGGAGGAAAAATACAGCAAACTCAAAGCTACTTTAATGCAAGATGAGAACCGTTTTTTCTTTTTTTCTTCTTCTGACTTGAGTCTCCAAGATTGTACTCGATTGAATTGATGATCGCTATGACGAAGAGTAATGGTACACGCCTTTGCAGGCGACACAGTGGGAAGACCAACGGCAATCAACTAACAAATCGACGTCGGGTATTTCGTCGAATACAGACAAGACATGAAAATTCAGCAGCCGCTCTCGCTCGCAGCAATTTGCTCTTTAACAGCACCCGCCGCCAGCCTTGGCCGCATCGCCCAGCCGGATCTGCTTGTTCCCGCCCGCCGTCTGCCCCTTGACGCCCGACCGGCGATCGTTCAAGTCGTATTTGCCGGCCTGAATATTCAAGAAAATGCGCTCGGCGACCCGCATGAAGGCCTTCTCAACGCCCTCGCCGCTCTGGCGCTCGTCTCGACGTATTCGAGCACGCCGTCTGCGCGCCCACGCCTCGGCTTCGACCCGCGACACTTCGCGCTTGTCGGTGCGCTGCTGCATCGCCGTCGCCGCAAGGTCGGCCTTGTGCCGACGAGGATAACGACAATGTCGGGCTCGGCAATCTGACGCAGGTCGTTGAGCCAGTCGGTGACGTGCTCGAACGTCTGGCGGCGCGAGAGATCGAAGACGAGGAGGGCGCCCGAGGCGCCGCGGAAGTAGGACCGCGTCACCGACTTGTACGTCTCCTGGCCGGCCGTGTCCCAGAGGGACAGCTTCATGTGTTTCTGCGGGGGCGGGGCGTCGGCGGCCGAGGGGGGCGGGGGCGCCCGGCGGGGTTCGGGCAAGCCTTCTGGTTTTGCCGGTGCGTTGGCTGGGGGTGTTGAGGAGGCGGAATCCGCGGCGTCGTCGTCGGTCGTTGGGATGGCGGCTGGTGGCGGCGGCGGCAGGGAGTGAGGGGGCCCAACGGGGACGATACGGGAGCCAAACTCGACGCCGATGGTCACGTCGTGATGCGGGGAGAAGCGGCCCTCACAGAGGCGGATTGTGAGACTGGACTTGCCACACCCCGAGTCGCCTATGCAGACGAGCTTGGCGATGTAGTCCCAAGGTGGTGAGGACATGATGGGGAGGGATTGTGTGGTGAGGGAGGATGAAGTGGTGGTGATCGTGAGGTGGTCGTCTGTGGAGAGCACGTGGCGGCGATAGCGAGTGGTGATGGAGGTCGAACGGTGCGATTGAGACGCTCGAATGGATCTTGTGCTTTGCGTGTCAGAGAAGAAGAGGAGCGATGGACGACCAGGCGGTATATGGGGTGAGATGGGTCGATCAGGAGGGTTGTCGATGTGCCGTGCAGGTGATGATGGAAGCTCTTGTCACGAGCTAAAGTGCTGTGTAGTCGGAGCCTTGAAGGCCTGTAAGTCCGTGTCCATCGAGCTGTGCTTGCGGTGCGTGTGGGGCTCTCTCCATTCTGAACCGTCCTTATCGGTGACGCAAGTTGGGCAGATGATAAGCGAGGGAACCTCCCCCCCATTGCGACATTGACATCCGAGACCAGCATGCATGCCGAGACTGGCCCGGCTTTCCATGCCATCCAGCCATCCAGCCATCCATGCCATGCAGTTGTCCATGCCATCCATGAGCCTGAGGCTGGCTCCTCGTGGACAATGAGAGCAGGCTGTCCCGGTCCGCGCAGTCGAAACACCTGTATCAAAGCCCGATTTTAGACAGTCCATCACAGCTACCTTGCCAGAATACGCCTTCAAAGGATCGTCCAAGTACTGACCCCATACTGACCCAAGCCAAGACAGATTGGTACTCTGAGAGAGCACAACAGCGAACAACTGTAGACGTTTCACCATGCCATGATTCATACATGTCAAGATGCAATTTTACTGTATTCGACACCTCTACCTTCGCACTGCACTCGCCGAGATATCCCACGAATGTCCGACGATGAAAGCACCTTCAACCTGCCTTTCAGCTATGTTGTCGATGATCTGGCGACTATCAAGCTCCTGCGAATCAGCTGGAAGCACCATTCGCGCCCTGTTCACCATGTGTGCCTTGTTCCCTCTGCTTCAGGACAGCCCGCACGCCTGGCAGGATGTACCGCCCATAATCGACAGCATCGTTGTAGTTGTCGTACCCTCGGATGGAGATGAGCTCCGCGCCAAGGTCGACGTAGTCCAGAAGGGAGTCGATGATGGTCTGATAGGAACCGACCAGCGCCGTTGATGCGCCACGCGCGTTTGTGGCTGTCACCGTGGGATACCAAAGGGCGCGGTCCTGCACGTCACCGCGCTTGGCAATCTCCAGGAGACGCTGGGATCCCACGTTCTGGGGCGCGCCGGCCGCCGGCGCATTGAGGCCGGTGCCCTTGGGGCTGTTCTTGTTGAGCGCGTCCAGCGTCCGGTGCGCCTTGGCCCAGGCCAGCTCGTCCGTCTCGGCAACGATGGGACGGAACGTCACCCAGATGCGCGGGCGGTCGGTGCGGCCCGCCTTCTCGGCCTCGGCGTAGATGCGGTCAATCTGCTCCTTCGTCTCCTTGAGGGGCTCGCCCCAGAGGCCGAAAATGTCGGCGAGCGCGCCTCCGATGCGGTACGCATCGTCAGAGGAGCCGCCAACCGAGACATCGATGTGGTTGTTGCTGAACGGCCGCACCCCGTTGCTGAAATCCTTGAACTGGTAATATTTGCCATCCCAGTCAAAGGGCTCCGAGGATGCCCACGCGCGACGCAGAATCTTGATGTACTCTTCTAACCGCTCGTACCGCTGCTCCTTGTTCAGGAAGTCACCCTCGCGAGCCTGGTCAGCGTCGCTGCCGCCGGGAAATGAAAGTGCACCACAGCGCGACCTCTGCTGAGCTGGTCGAGTG